GTTGCAGTGAGCCAAGATCGTGCCACTGCACTCCAGTCTGGTGACAGAGTGAGACTCTGTCTCACCCCAAAAAGAAAACAATGGTAGCTTTTTATTAACAGAAAAGACTACTACAGTGTGAGAAATCACAGGGGACAAACTATATATAAATGTGACATATGAGTTAAATGGCCAATACCTCAGTCGTTAGAATCTAACCCGAGTCTTTCTCTTCTTTCTGGGAGTCTTCTCCACCTTGATCTGCTCTGATCTTTGGTCTAGCTCTATAGATACTCAAGATGAATGTTTCTTTCTGGCAGATTTACTAAGCATAGCTTTGGGGAGCGGGTCAGAATGACACTTTGGCACGGTGGGTAAAGCTGCCAGCATCTTAGCACCAAACTCTACCAGTAGTCCTATTCTTTCACCTTTCGTGTAAAACACAATTTTTATTTATTTATTTAATTCTTTTGAGACAGAGTCTTGTTCTGTCTCCCAGGCTGGAGTGCAGTGGTGTGATCTTGGTTCACTGCAAACTCTGCCTCCTGGGTTCAAGCAATTCTCCTGCCTCAGCACCCCAAGTAGCTGGGATTACAGGTGTGCACTACCACACCTGGCTAATTTTTGTATTTTTGGTAGAGGTGGGGTTTCACCATGTTGGCCAGGCTGGTCTCAAACTCCTGACCTCAGGTGATCTGCCTGCTCTGGCCTCCCAAAGTCCTGGGATTACAGGCATAAGCCACTGTGCCCCACCTAAATCCACTATGCCCAGCCTAAATCCTAAAGTAAAACACGATTTTTACTTTGGAACAAATGACTAATATCAAACTGTCAGTCAAACTTATTCAGAGTTAGGTATTTGGTAGATTTTTATGCCCCAAATGAGTAAGTTTTGAGCTTTCAAAGCAAAAATTCGAATTTCAAAAAACTTCCGGCTACCTCCATGTAGCCTACCTCCAGTATTCTACACTCAAAGACTGTTAATGATATTAGTGGTAATATTTTCATGATGTGATTTTGGATAGTACATAATAAAATGTGTCAACATTTTTAATATCTGCATACCTCAGGGAGACCACTATTTTCCAAATGACCAATGCATGCTGTTAAAAACCATGCATGGATAAAAAGTATTTATTCAAAGTGTAAAACTGACCAATGGATTTTAATGTAGGAGTATAAAACTTTCTTGATATGGCTTCAGAGTCCACATTGCACCTAAACATTAAGAAATTAACATTTGTCAGTTTTGGTATAGAATTAAAGAATATCCACAATTATCTAAAAAGGCTATTAAAATATTCCTTTTTTCCAAATACACATCTGTGTGAGGCCAGATTTTCTCCATATTCTTCAATTAAAACAACACATGACCACAGGTAGCACGCAGAAGCAGTTGGGAGAATCCTATTGTCTTCTATTATGCCAAGCCATTAAAGATTTGCAAAAATGTAAAAACAACACTACTCTTGCTATTTTTTAGAAATTTTTTTTTCACAAAATCTGTTTTGTTAACATATAATGAGTTTGTGATTGCTATTTTTTTTTTTTTTTAGACAGGGTCTTTGAAGCGTTTTGATTTGTCACCCAAGCTGGAGTGCAGTAGCAAGATCATAGCTTACTGCACCCTCAAACTCTGGGGCTCAAACGATCCTCCTGCCTCAGCCTCCCAAGTAGCTGGGACTATCGGTGCATGCCACCATGCCCAGCTTTGTAGTTACTATTTTTAATAAATTGATAAATATTTTAAATGATTTCTAATCTATACTCTTTCCATTGTTTTTGAGTTAGGTGCTGTAAACAGATTTGTCCACCCTCTCATTTATTTATTCAGGGTGATGGTAGTGTTCTATTATCCAAGAAATGTGGGGAGCAGAAGGCAATGGAAGGGTGCTTAGAATCTTCTGGAAAATGTGTGTACACTCATGTAGATGATGTAATATCTTTGGAACATTTTTTGGTTGGGTTTCGTGTTTCCCAAATTGCTATCTTCAATTCAAAGCTCTCTCCTGACTCTCTCATTCACTTAACAAATATTTATTTAGTGTCAGCAATGTGCCAAGCAGTGATTATCCAATGGTCTTCACAACACGTCTCCTTGGATGTCTAGCAGGCACTGCAAATTCTGAACCACCCATGCTAACCTCATGTTTCCCCTCAACGGCTCCTCTTCCCATGCTCCTGTCACACTGACTGCTGCCCTGAGCCACCCTGAGGCTCGGGCCAAACATCTGGGCATTCTCCTCGCCTGGCCTTTCTCCCTTCATCCGACCCACTCTCAAGTACTGGAAAATCTACCTTTTTAATATCTCTCAAATGTTCTACTTTTCTCCAACTACCCTCATTCAGACTTCCTTTATCCCTCACTAAATTATTAGCAACAGCCTTCAAACTGTTCTCTCTCGTCCTATCTTAGCCCTTTCTCCTCCGTGTCCCACACTGCATGGGGCCCGGCAATCCTTGACAGCATGTCATTAAAAGGGCTGGGGTTGAATCATCTCCATTTCACAGATGAGAAAAACAAGGCTGTGGAAGCTAAATAACTTCCAAGTGATATTTATTTATTTATTTAGGGATGGAGTCTTGCTCTGTCGCCAGGCTTGAGTGCAATGGCGTGATCTCGGCTCACTGCAACTTATGCCTCCCGGGTTCAAGTGATTCTCCTGCCTCAGCCTCCCCAGTAGCTGGGACTACAGGTGCCCACCACCACACACAGCTAATTTTTGTATTTTTAGTAGAGATGGGATTTCACCATGTTGGCCAGGCTTGTCTTGATCTCTTGACCTCGTGATCCACCTGCGTTGGCCTCCCAAAGTGCTGGGATTGTAAGTATGATCCAACATGCTCGGCACAAGTGATAGACTTTAAAGACAAAGCAGATCAGATCACACCCTTTGTTTAACCTCTAAGGGCATTAATTCTAAAGATACAATACAAGCTCTTCAATAAGGCATGTGCGGGTCCTCCATGCCTAACCGTCCCCTCCTTTGTGCCCTATGCTCTTTTCGTTACCAGGCTTTAAAAAAATGCCTGTTACTTCCTTTGCCTGGGCCACTCTTCCCCCCGCAGACTGAGCTTAGCTGTATCATTCTTCAGGAGCCCTCCCCTGACTCCCTAAGACTGGGTGAGGCACCTGGCTTATAGTTCACGTGGCAACCTGTCTTCAGTCTAATGGCAGTAGCACTTATCACACCATTTTTTAAATTTTGTATTCCCCTACCCCTTCACGGAGGACCTGTAATACCTTTAAACTATTGTATTACTAATGTAATACATTTAGACTATTCCCAGCAGGAAATACAGAATGTGACATGTAGATGATGTAATATCTTTGGAACATGACTTGACTTCCTAAATTTTTTTCTCGATTTTCATACATTAGGTCAAGTCTTTGTGCTGTGAAGTTCTTCATCACCCACCCACCAATACTGTGTCATACGGAATCGTTTCACTGTCTGCAAATTACCCCATGGGTCCTTCTCCCCCAACGCTCCCTCCCCTGCGCCATGCCACCATTTAACTGCCTATGGACTTGACAAGCTCTCTCTCGGGTTCAAGATCCACTCTGTTTAACCTGGTGTCCCCAGCCTGAGACAAAATGCCCAGCACTCTGAGGATACTCTACAAGTATCTGTGGAATGCAAGAACTACAAACTTGTAGTGCACCAACAGGTTAAACCTTGTCCCTGAGTGGCAATGGTGCCGGTGAATGAGTAGCTCTGATGCCCACAGCAGCCCTTTCCACAGCTTCAGTTTGCTCCCAAGCCCCCAAGGCCCCACTCTGTTGTCCCTTCCTGGATGGCATGTGTTTGTCCAAATGGGTGTAGCCCTGAGATGATTAAGTCACTCAAACGCCTGCCGGGCTCGGGCGGAAGGACTCGTGACAGGAATTGCTGCCCAAGCAATGGAAAAGGAGACCAGCCCCCTGGGGAAGGGATGCTGCTTACAGGGAACTACACGCAGCAGAGAGGAAAGGACAGTGGGAGCTCTGAAAAGCCTGAGTTGGGAAGCCCCGCCTTTAAACCAGCCTGCTTACTTGTCAGGTTTTCATTTCTGTTCTTTTTTTTTCTTTGAGACAGGGTCTCACTCTGTCACCCAGTCACCCAGGCTGGAGTGCCGTGGCACGATCTCGGTTCACTGCAACCTCTGCCTCCCAGGTTCAAGTGATTTTCCTGCCTCACTCTCCCGAGTAGCTGGGATTGCAGGTACATGCCACCACGTCCAGCTAATGCTTTTGTATTTTTAGTAGAGATGGGGTTTCACCATGTTGGCCAGGCTGGTCTCTAACTCCTGACCTCAAGTGATCCACCCACCTGAGCCTCCCAAAGTGCTCAGATTCCAGGCATGAGCCACCGCGCCCGGCCTTAAGTGTCCGTTTTAATACTAAAAGTCCAGCATCACCACGAGGCTGCAAATCAAGGCACTCTCTGTGCACTGCTAGGCAGGCTGGGTGAGGACTTGGCCCTGAAAGTCTAGTCCCTGCTTGGAAATCTGCCTTTCTAGCTCCGATGACTTTAGAAGGAGTTGGGAGAACTCCAGAGCTGTGGGTGGAGGGAGAAGCTCCTGATAAATGAACCATCGGAGCCTGAACAATGGCTTCCTCTGTGCAGCTGGGCCGTGCACCTGGCGCCTGCACAGGGCCCTCTGTGCTTTTGTCCTTCCGCACACAGTAATGTCCACACACAGACGAGACTTATAAATACCCTCCAAAGGAGAAGTGAAATTACTGACCAGTTCTCCTTTTCTCTGCTTAGCTGGAGCCCAGCAGCTGAGAGCAACTGGTACACACTCACATTCCCCAGTAGAGCGGCTCAACCTGCTTTCATTATTTTATGGTTGGGAAGCTTTTGGCAAACATCCCGTTTTGGATGAAATGGGACTCAGACTGACTCTCAAGGGCTAAATTTACTGCCTAGAAACTTCAAGCAAATGAAAAGAGAAAGCAAAGGAAAGGACAGGGCCGATGAGTGCACCAATCACAGAAACAGAACGCTGGAGTCTTCTGGAAGTGAGCATTTTACCTGCACGTAGAAGGTCCTGGAGCTTGTTATTATTTCAAACAGGTTGTCCCTCATTAAGAGATCACTAGATGGAGAAAGAGAAAGAACGTTACGGCGGCTGGCATACACATGGAGGATCAACACGTCCGAAGTTAAGACTCCAGTGCCCTTGACCATAAAAAAGGAAGATGCGTGGCAGGGGTGGTTCCCAGCCATTCTTCCTCCAGCTCCTGCCTTGAAATCAACACTCCAGCAGTTTCCTCCTTTCCTAGAGGGTCTCAGGGGGCTCTGCCATCCAGATGGACCCTCCCCAGCCCCCTCTCCCACCAGCAGTTCTAACAAGCTCTTTTCCCTCCAAAATCTCCTGCCTAATATCCAACCCCCCACCCCCCACCCACCGTCTCCTACCGTTTCCTCCCTCCCTCCCTCTAAGGTGTATGAGGTGCTTTGTGGGAAAAACCATTTTGGGTGCTTTTTTGCAGATTATTTCATCTAATCTTCACAATAGTACCGGGGAGCACTTCAGACTTTCCCCATTTTACAGATGAGGAAACCCAGACCCACACTCAGAGTCAGAGCTTAAATGACTCCTCCAAGTTGCTGGAGATTTGGAACCCAGGTCTGACTCCAGAGTCTCTGCTTTATTTATTTGTTTCTTTGAGACAAGTTCTGGCTCTGTTGCCCAGGCTGGAGTCCAGTGGTGCAATCATGGCTCACTGGGACTACAGGCACATGCCGCCACTTCTGGCTAATTTTTGTATTTCTTGGAGAGACAGGGTTTTCCCATGTTGCCCAGGCTGGTCTTGAACTCTTGAGCTCAAGCAATCTGCCTGCCTCAGCTTCCCAAAGTGCTGGGATTACAGGCACGAGCCACTGCACCCAGTGAGCCTATGCTTTTAATTACTCCACTGCCACCGGCCTCTCCTAAGGGAGCCAGTTCTCCATTCCCTAAACTGTCTTCTCCACCACGCAGCGGATCCATCAGCTTCACTCAGCTCCCGCTCCTTGCCTCACTGTGTGGGGCCCAGGAGACAAAGAGCTTAAAGAGGGGGAAAGCAAGGGGAGAGGAGACGACTTTAGGACACTTCTTTAGGGGACACTACTGGGTGTGGGTTTTGGAAAAGAAATCCTGACTTCTGCCAAGGAAGAGGGCAGAAAGTAGCTAATGCTCAGTGTCAAACCTCAGAGCAGCCCAAGTTATTTCCCAGGGTTAAACGCCTTCTGTGTATATCCCCTGCCACTTCGGGGAGTACATTAGGAGTAAAAGACCTAATTCCCACCCAGTGGAAGAACATGAGGGCCAGGCGTGATGGCTCATGCCTGTAATCCCAGCACTTTGGGAGGCCAAAGTGGGCAGATCACTTGAGTTCTAAGCCAGCCTGGGCAACATGGTAAACCTCGTCTCTACAAAAAAAATACAAAAATGAGTACGGTGTGGTGGCACACATCTATAGTCCCAGCTTACTCGGGAGGCTGAGGTGGGAGGATCACCTAAGCCTGGGAGGCAGAGCTTGCAATGAACTGCGATTTAACCACTGCACTGCAGCCTAAAGAACAGAGCAAGACTATCTCTAAAAAAAAAAGAACATAAGGAAGCCAAACTCTAATACCGGATGTTCGATTGTGTGTTGTATGCCAAGAGTTGGAAAGGACTGATCACAGGTGGAGTTGGCTTCATGAATGAGAAAGCCTGCAAGTAAACGGCAGGGGCTCGGCCAGTGCCACGGGAACCTGGGCAAAGGAGTGCATGAGAGCAGAGACCCATGAGGGAGAACAACAGGACAGGGGACAGACAGTCCTGGGGAGAATCCTGACTACAGGTAGGGAAGAGACCTCTGAGAATGCTGTAAAAACTTAGGAAGCCTTTGTGATGCCAAGTGTAAAACGGAGATAAATGAGAGGACCCCCTTTATCGGGCTGGTCACTACAAGGCCCAGTTAGTTATAAAGTACAGAAGGCATCCGGCATAATGTGTGTCACAGAATAGTCACTTGAAGCACATTTCACCAACTATAATTACTTTCTGTGTTTCGGAATCAAAAATGGCTCTTTCGCTGGGCGCGGTGGCTCACATCTGTAATCCCAGCATTTTGGGAGGCCGAGGCAGGTGCATCATCTGAGGTTGGGAGTTTGAGACCAGCCTGATCAACATGGAGAAACCCTGTCTCTACTAAAAATACAAAATTAGCCGGGCATGGTGGCACATGCCTGCAATCCCAGCTGCTTGGGAGGCTGAGGTAGGAGAATCGCTTGACCATGGAGGCAGAGGTTGCAGTGAGCCAAGATCACACCATTGCACTCCAGCCTGGGCCACAGGTGTGAAACTCTGTCACAAAAAGAAAAAAAGTCTCTTTCTGGCTAAAATGTCTTAACCTTTCAAATTCTACTCATGCATAGCCAGTAAAGTCACATAAACAACTACCGAGGAGGTGAAAGAAAAGCAGGTGGGAAATCCCCACGCCTTTCACATCCACTTCTCAGGGTAGGAAGGGCGCGAGGCGGGTGAGGCTATGCATTGGACACCGTGGACACTGCTGCAGACGGGTGAACCACAACCTCAGAAATCAGCACTGAAGAACTTTCCCATGCAACCAAACATCACCTGTTCCCCCAAAACTACTGAAACTTTAAAAAATTAAAAATCTAAAAAAAAAATTAAAAATTTAGATGAAGTTTGGCTCTTGCTGCCCAGGCTGGAGTGCAAAGTCGCAGTCTCAGCTCACTGCAACTCCCGCCTCCGGGGTTCAAGCGATTCTCCTGCCACAGCCTCTCAAGTAGCTGTGATTCTAGGTGCCCGCCACCACACATGGCTAATTTTTTGTATTCTTAGTAGAGACAGGGTTTCGCCATTTTGGCCAGGCTTGCCTTGAACTCCTGGCCTCAGGTGATCCACCCACCTCAGCCTCCCAAAGTGCTGGGAGTGGATTACAGGTCTAAGCCACCGTGCCTGGCCTAAAAAGATACATATTTTTTTAAAACGACACAAGGCTACACGGTGCCTTTCAACTCAATTCAATTCACTTGAACAAATATTCACTGATTATCAAGATGTCCTAAACCCCAGGACTGGGTTCCAGGGAGGCCAAGCAGTCTAACAGACCTGGAAGCCCCAGAGCCCTAAGGACCTTCCTTCCCTGCTAGTCCCTGACTACTTTAACAGTTCAGTGTGACGCTGGCAGAGTTAGAGCCGGGGAAAGTTCAAGGCACTCTCAGGATTTAATAGTAAGTTCCTTATGGTTCCCTAAGCTTCTCCAGTGTGCCCAGGTGGTCTCACATCTGCAAGGGCCCTCCAGGGTCCAGTACAATCAAGGCTCCCACCATGCCCAAACTTTCCTCTGCCTACTTCTGGAGCCACGCTTTCACGGAATTTCCATCCATAGCTACTTTCATGAATTACAAATTGTCACTGGGAACCCCCCATCTCTGTATTCTGCAACTGCCATTTGCAAGACTCAGGAGAGTGCTTCTGTCCCTGCCTCCCTGGGTCACACAGCATGTTGTTTTCATGCAAGACTGTTCATGCCTTTATGGGAGAAGAGTCGGCCTGCTGTGAACAGCTTTCCTGATGTCTGCAGGCACAAGCCGTGGGGCAGAGAAACACAAACACGCAGTCTCTCAAGACTGCAGATTGATGGCCAGGAAGAGGGTTTCTGGATGCCCTAATACCCTTGGGGTCTCTAAAATTTAGGGGTTTTTTTTTGTGTGTGTTTGTTTGTTTGTTTGACACAGAGTTTCACTCTGACACCCAGGCTGGAGTGCAGTGGCATGATCTCGGCTCACTGCAACCACCGCCTCCCAGGTTCGAGCGATTCTCCTGCCTCATCCTTGTGAGTAGCTGGGATTACAGGCACACACCACCACACCTAGCTAATTTTTGCATTTTTAGTAGAGATGGGGTTTCTCCCATTGGCCAGGCTGGTCTTGATCTCCTGACCTCATGATCTGCCTGCCTCGGTCTCCCAAAGTACTGGGATTATAGGCGTGAGCCACCACGCCCAGCCTAAAGTTTAGTTCTATAGGCATCTGTATTAGGTGCTGGATCTGGAAGATCCCTTGCCAAGTCCCAAACTCATCCTGTGCAACGTGGCACTTGGAAGGTAACCTATCCTAGCGGACAGAGGGATATCTTTAAAATACCTGTTCTTTCTTCCCGGTGGGAGTAACACAGAGATGCTATGAATCACCCTTGTGTTAATGGGACATCAGGGTCAAAAGGAGGAGAAAAGGCATAAGAAGGTCAGAGAAGAGGCACTGGTACAGTGATATGAGGTTAGTGACCTAGAGGCATGGCTCTCCTCTGAGTCTGAGTTGTGCTAGGGATTGAGCATCTAATCCTAATATCTGAGAAACATCGGAGCCCCACTCTTTGTTTCTTTTTTTTTTTTTTTAATAAAGATGGGGTTTCACCATGATGGCCAGGCTGGTCTTGAACTCTTGATCTCAGGTGATCCAGCCACCTCGGCCTTCCAAAGTGCTAGGATTACAGGCGTGAGCAACCGCGCCTGGCCTTCTTTTCTTTTTTTTTTTTTAATAAAGACCCACTCTTTGTTTCTATATCCTTTCTTTTTGGCCACCAAAAACTATTACAGAGGCCTGTCTGCTTGGGAGCCAGAGTAAGGTATGGGAAGAGGGCAAGTGTGCCCAGGGCGGTCTCCTCCCTGTGTGGGCTTGGATGCGCTGAGTCAGCAACAAGGTGCTAGTTAGGCTCCTGCACCTGGCTCCTGGAAGAAGATAACTCGTGCATAGAGTCTCTAAAGGGAAGTAAAGGGAGATTTAAGAGGACAAATGGAGGTTTGGATCAGAAGAGAAAAAGCAGACACAATTACCCAGACTTGACCAGACATTCATGGGTCTTGAGAACATCCTTAAGAAATATAGTACGCAGTGGTTCTCGGTCCTGGTGGAAAGAACAGAAAGACAGGTAAGTGAGGCTGTCTGTGTCATATCATGACCCAGACCAGCTGATCAACACTGCTTTCTCAGAGATAGTCAGCTCAAATCAGGTTGACAAACACCCTGGTCTCAAAATAATCAGCAAGAGAAAAAAAAAAATCTGGCTGGGCAGTGTGGCTCATGCCTGTAATACCAGGACTTTGGGAGGCCAAGGCAGGAGGACTGCTTGAGGCCAGGAGTTCAATATCAGCCTGGGCAACATAGTGAAACCCTGTCTCTATGGGTGTGGTGGCACATGCCTGTCATTCCAGCTACTTGGGAGGCTGAGGTGAGAGGATCACTTGAGCCTGGGAGGTCAAGGCTGCAGTGAGTTATGGCACCACTGTGCTCCAGCCTGGGTGACAGACCCTCTCTTCAAAAACAAGAAACAAGAAAAAAAATCTAAGAAGAAGATGCTGCGTGGCTGTGACTCTAGCCACACCACAGCTCACTGCAGAGGACACTTTACTGTCACTATCAAGATGTGTGCACAGAGTGGATGGAGATAAGACAGAGGCGCCTTTGAAGTCTCTGTGTGCCCACATCTCCACTCACGCACGCTCTCCTGTGGGTGTGCATCTGTACACCTCTTAGTTTCCATGATCTCTCAGAAGGACAGCAAAGCTACTACAAACCTGTTCACACTTGAAGTAGCAGATGGTAAAATCATCAAGTGCAAAGAAGCGACGTTTCCAGCTCTTCCGCTACAATAAAAAAATAAAGGACGGAACGTTAGCGAGAGGTCCCCAGCATTGTGGAGGCTGTTCTAATGCTAAGCTCCCAGGGACCCAGCCCCATGGAAATTGGGCTCCCATGTTCATCGGGGACAAGGGCTTCTTCATATCAGGGGCAATACCTCTGACAGGTGAGGGCCAATGGTCAGTCCCAAAATCTCACCTTTGAAGGTGGAGGCTCTATGGAGGACTTGAGGCACCTCCTGTCAATCGCCTCTCCCCTCTGCTATGTCTACAGCCACTAGCTCTGAGAAGTCACAAGAATCCCATTCCAGCCACTGTGCTGAATGACACTCACCACGTTCCCTTGCTTCACGCAGTAACCACTCTTAATGAGGGGAGGCCCGGTGGAAGCACGGCAGCCTGACGTGGGGATGTAACTCTGAGACCTTCGAAGGATGGCGTGGGACCCAGGCTCACTCCCTTCCTGCCCATCCCCACCGTTCTGCAAGGAAACAGTGTCAGGATCACACCTCCCTCCCTCTATGAAGCTGCACCCTGACCCACCTCCCTCTGCCTGAAGAATCTCTCGCCTCTTTGCCCTAAGTCAATGAAGAAATAAATGGTAGGCACAGTGGCTCATGCCTGTAATCCCAACACTTTGGGAGGCCAAGGCAGGAGGATCGCTTGAGCCCAGGAGTTTGAAACCAGTCTGGGCAACACAGTGAGAACAAGTCTCTACAAAAAAACTAAAAATTGTTTAAAATTTTTTTTTAATTTTTATCTTAAAATTTAAAAATTTTAAAGCCAGGCGTGTAGTCCCAGCTACTCAGGAAGCAGAGGTGGGAGGATAGCTTGAGCCCAGGAGTCGGAGGCTGCAGTGAACCATGATTATACCACTGCACTTCAGTCTGGGTGACAGAGCAAGACTCTTGTCTCTAAAAAAATTAAATAAGAACATGGCAAAACCCCATCTCCATAAAAAAATACAAAAAAATTAGCCAGGTGTGGTGGCACCTGCCTGTGGTCCCACTTGAACCTGGGAAGGCTGAGGTGGGAGGATTGCCTGAGCCTAGAAAACAGAGGCTACACTGAGCCATGATTATGTGGATCTGCACTTCAGCCAGGGCAGCAGAGTGAGACCCTGTCTCAAAAACAAATTAACTAAATAAAATAATTAAAACAGGAATATAAACCTTTCTTTTGCTCTGTCATGCACTCAACTGGTACTTTCACAGAGCCAGCATCGGGGAGGTTGGGCCGACCCAGGAAAAAGGGAAGGATAGAGAATGCGAACCAGGAGGGACACCACGCTGGTTTCCAGCCTCGTTCACCTTCCTCTGTCCCATTTCTTGTGGGTTTCACAAGAGCTCATCTCCTGTGTCTCCTGTGCACGGGCCACATGGCTTCAAGATGCAGTGGTGGCTGGGCACGGTGGCTCACGCCTGTAATTCTGGCCCTTTGGGAGGCCGAGGCGAGTGGATCACCTGAGGTCAGGAATTCAAGCCCAGCCTGGACAACATGGTAAAACACCACCTTTACTAAAAATACAAAAATTAGCCAGGTGTGGTGGCACATGCCTGTAATCCCAGCTACTCAGGAGGCTGAAGCAGGAGAATCTCTTGAACCCGGGAGGCAGAGGTTGCAGTGAGCCAAGATCACGCCATTGCACTCCAGCTTGGGCAACACAGAGAGACTCCATCTCAAAAAAAAAAAAAAAGATGCAGTGGCCTCCACTTCTGCACTGCTGTCACCAACAGCCATGAATGGGGATTTAACATGCCCTGTACTTTCCTGATGGCTCTACCAGCACCAGCTCCCTCACTCCCACCCTCCCTTCCCCAGTACAGTGCTGCGAGCACATCACGGGCACACCATGGACACTTCTACACACTCACTCCCGCCGCAGCCCCAGTCAGACCCCTCACCTGGCTGATGGGTGTGTGGACCACCACCCCTCCGATGATCTCTGTCTTGTAGGCCACCTGTGGCTTCTTCTCCAGGGCTGGAGGAGCTGCTAAGCTCTTGAGAACTTCTGTAGTCACAGGCAGGCCCCCGCCTTTGGGTACCTGGGGAAAGCGGCAGCAACAGTCAACGGGGAACAGAAGGTTTAGGAAATGTGGGGAGCCCAAAGCAGAATGGGGGTGCTTTAAGAAAAGCTAATGTACCAATTATAGTCAGACATCCGTGTCCTCCCCAGGCCTTCCACAGTCCAAATCCAAATATGAGCGGCTCAGCCAGCAATGCCCTCCCCACACACAGATACAAACTGACTCCAGGAATTTCTTGAGCACCTACTATGAGCCAGCCCTTCCCTGGCTAGAAACCAAAGATAAAGTGTCAAGTGAAACACACATGGGTCCCCACCCTCGTGGCACTTACATGCTAGTAGGGAGAATAACCAAAAAAATATGTAAAACAAACAGAGTGATTACAAATGGTGGTGAGTGGCCCAAAGTCACGGGAGCTGAGGCAGTGCACAGCAGGGACATGCTGGACACGGAGTGGGCAGGGAGGTGTCCAGAGAAGGAGGCAGGGAGACACTCAAACGGCAACCCGGAGAGTGAACAGAAGCCTGGGGCCAGGTCCGAAGCCTCACACCTGTAATCCCAGCACACTGGGAGGCCAAGCCCAGGAGTTCAAGACCAGCCTGGGGAACATAGTGAGATCCCGTCTCTACCAAAAATGAAAAGAATTAGCCAGGTGTGGTAGCACATAGCTGCTCAAGAGGCGGAGGTGGGAGAATCTCTTGAGCCCAGGAATTGGAAGCTGCAGTGAAACATAATCACACCACTGTATTCCAGGCTGGGTGACAGAGACCCCGTGTCAAAAATAATAAATGAATGAATGAATGAATGAATGAATGAATGAAACTGGGAACACGAAGCTGGGGGAAGCCATGCTGGGCAGATGGAACCAGTAAAATCCATGCCTATGAAGGGACAGAACAAGGGGTCTGTGAAGTCTGGAGCCGGAAGGCGTGTGGTACAACCCCTGACCTCTCACAAACCACCTGAGCAATCTTTGGCAAACCATCAAACCTCTCTAGGCCTAAACCATCTCATGCATAAAACGAAAAGAATAATAATATTTATTGTAAGCATTGTTGTGGTTGCCAAATGATAGAGTATATTAAGCACTTTAGAAACACAATTAAAAGAAAAACATATTACAAAATATTTTAATTAAGGCTTCCCAGGTGGTAATAATAATTATACACAGAGCCCTTTTAGAAGAATGAGTTATCAGCAGGGCACGGTGGCTCAAGCTTGTAATCCCAGCACCAAGGAGGCCAAGGTGGGCAGATCACCTGAGGTCAGGAGTTTGAGACCAGCCTGGCCAACACAGCAAAACCCCATCTAAAAAAAAAAAAAAAAAAAAAAAAAAAAAAACATTAGCCGGACACCATGGTGCATGCCTGTAGTCCTAGCTGCTTGGGAGGTTGAAGCTGGAGAAACAGTTGAACCCGGGAGGTGGAGGTTGCAGTGAGCTGAGATCACGCCACTGCACTCCAGCCTGGGCACAACAAAGCGAGACTCTATCTCAAAAAAAGAAGAATGAGTTATTTTTCTTCTTCCTTGACAGAGATATGGTACCATAGCCGATCAAATTGTCATAGAATTTGTATGGTTAGTTGGAACTCACAGGCCAGAGGTTGCAAATTCGTGGCCCACCAACTGACTTTGCCTAAACAATGTTTTGTTAGTCTCATGCAGTGTTTTTTCAATCTGCATCTAAATTTTGGGATATTTCACAGAAAAATCCAGAATTTCAGCTATGTAGTTCTCTCTTAGACAGAAAGTACATTCTGTGTTTGCACAGTCCGTACTACTCTCCCCAAAAGAACGGGAGAGGCCAGGGTTCAGACGGCGCTTATCCTCATTCCTGTTGCCACGTTTCTTCCTCCTTGCCCACTTCACTCATTTATACTAGAGTCTGCAAATGCTGAGGAAATCTTACATTTCGTAAGAAGGAAAGAAAAAAAAAAAAGAGGCCCGGAACAGTGGAGTCATTTGCCCAAAGCCAGGATTAACAGCTGAATGTCGGCAGGGTGTGGTGGCTCATGCCTGTCATCTCAGCGCTTTGGGACGCCTAGGCGGGTGGATCACCTGAGGTCGGGAGTTCAAGACCAACCTGACCAACATGGTGAAACCCCATCTCTACTAAAAATACAAAAAATAGCTGGGCGTAGTGGCAGTTGCCTGTAATCCCAGCTACTTGGGAGGCTGAGGCAGGAGAATCGCTTGAACCCGGGAGGCGGTGGTTGCAGTGAGCCGAGATCACACTCCAGCACAATTGCACTCCAGACTGGGCGACAGAGTGAGACTTCATTGCAAAAAAAGCAAAAACAACAAAACAAAACAAAAAACAGCTGAACGTCTACTAAACCCTGACTTTCCACTGGAGTCCCGGCATTACAGTGCCCACCACCTTCAGAGGAATGCAACACCCTGCGTCTATCTGCCAGGATGTCACTGGGACGTCATGAGAAAAACTAAAGTCCTCTCCTACTTCTACAGCTTTCAGAGTCAGACAGGCCTAAGGATCCAGACCTTTCAAGAGCTTGGAGCTACATGACAGCCCTGTCATTTGGTGTCTGTTCAAAATGCACCCGGATTATGCTGGGCCACCGTAAAGAAGGAGACCTTCTCTTCCTGGACTGCACACTCAGTTTACATAGACGAGGATGTCCTCTGCCCCCTCCCTACTTCTCCAAATCAGACCAGAAATTCCACCTCAATTTCCCTCTGGCTGACAGAAGCCAGCAGTTAGTTTCTTGAGGCCTCCATTCAGTGTCACGCAATGCACCAATAAGGTCTTTGCTTCGTTATCACTAATCTTATCAACTAGGCATGATTTTCTCCACTTTATAGATGAGGTCAACCCAAGCTCATTAAAATTAAGTGATTTGGCCCTAGGACTGCCTGACTCCTTGTTGCTGCTTGTCACCATCTACCTAAGCTACCCTTTCTAATTTTCTGTGAGTTTTGATATTATGTAACCACATTTTTAGGGATGTTGATTTTTGCGGGGATATTTAGTGACAAAATCATCATGGAACTGCAGAAATTTCCCCTAAATGACCCAGATGAATTCCTGAAACCCAGCAAAGAAGGAGGGAAGTAACTTTTTAGAGTTCCCAGGGGCCAGAAAAGGAGGCACAGAGCTTGGCTGCTGCATTTCCTCTCAAAATCCCAAAGGCCACTGTTTGTCACCGCTTATGCTCCTGTGTCATGCACTGCTTCAGATCAACAGACAGACCCTTTCCAAAGCTGCTTCCACTTCCTGAGACTTCTTTAAGATATAGGGTTTCACTCTGTTGCTCAGGCTGAAGTACAGTGGTGCGATCGTAACTCCCTGCAGCCTCAAACTCCTGGGCTCAAATGATCCTCCTGCCTCAGCCTCCTGAGTAGCTGGGACTACAGACATGTGCCACCACATCCAGCTAATTTTTGTATTTTTAGTAGAGGCGGGGTTTCACCACGTTGGCCAGACTGGTCTCGAGCTCCTGACCTCAGGTGATACACCCACTTCAGCCTCCCAAAGTACTGGGATTACAGGTGTGAGCCACTGCTTTATTTTACTTTTGTAGAAATGGGGTCTCCCTCTGTGTTGTCCAGGCTGGTCTTGAACTCCTGGGCTCAAGTGTTCTTCCCACCCTGGCCTCCCAAAGAGTTGGAATTACAGGTGTGAGCCACCACACCCAGCCAACTTTCTGAGACTCTGAATCAGCTGGTGGAAGACAAATTCAACAATAACTAAGCTACATAGCTTGAAAACAAGGTTTTTTTTGGTCTGTCCATATTCCAGAGGCCTTGTTTTACCCACCCACGGGGCATCCTCTGATGAGGGAGAGGCACAGGGACCTCATCTGTGATGTAAAATAAATGCTCACCTTTTCTCTGCTGGGCAGGCTGGCCCACAAGAAGAAAGAGAAGAATCTAACCATGAGGGAAAGCTGTGCTTGATTTTACCGCTCCATTTTCAACCTTTTTTTTTTTTTTTTTTTTTTTTTTTTGAGACAGAGTTTCGCTCTTGTTTCCCAGGCTGGAGTGCAATGGCGCGATCTCGGCTCACTGCAACCTCCGCCTCCTGGGTTCAGGCAATTCTCCTGCCTCAGCCTCCTGAGTAGCTGGGATTACAGGCACGCACCACCATGCCCAGCTGATTTTTTGTATTTTTAGTAGAGACGGGGTTTCACTATGTTGACCAGGATGGTCTCGATCTCTTGACCTCGTGATCCACCCGCCTCGGCCTCCCAACCTTTTTTTTTTTAAGACTAACTCTCACTCTGTCATCCTGGCTGGAGTGCAGTGGTGCAATCTCAGCTCACTGCAACCTCCGTCTTTTGGGTTCAAGCGATTCTCCTGCCTCAGCCTCCCGAGTAGCTGGAACTACAAGTGTGTGCCATCACGCCCGGCTGTTTTTATTTTTAGCAGAGACATGGTTTCCCCATGTTGGCCAGGCTGGTCTCCCTGCTGACCTCAGGTGAACCACCCACCTTGGCCTCCAAAATGCTAGGATTACAGGTGTGAGCCACTGCACCCAGCCATCCATCCTCTCTTTTTTTACCACTCTCTTCTCACGGGTTTACCAAGGTTTATCAGAATAAGAAGCTAATCATCAAAACTGCTTATAGGACTCAGTTATACTCAGGTTGGATCTAGCAATACCAGACAGGTGTACACATTTCTTCTATACAGATATTCACAGGAACCCTGAGAAATCTGGGAGGATAATTTGCCACAGCACATAGTAGTTATTACTGAAAGCCCCTCAAACATGAGCATTTCTGACTGTATGATACAGAAACAAACTTTTCAGCATACAAGCCATGGTCTATATAAGCAAGGAGTCTGCCTGTCTTATTGATTAAAAGTCTGTTTGTTTCCAAAACATATAGTTTTTCCTCTCCATCCTTCTTACCCTTCTTCCTTTCTTTTTCTGTATTTCTTAGGAAAAAGAAAGGAATTCTTCATTAGCCAGCTCAAGGGAAAAGAGCATACTCGTAGGATAGTCCATGAACTAGCACTGTGAAGCTTTTAAGCAGAAGGCTTTTCCAGGACAGGGAGGCAGGTGGCTTGCACTGACCTTGCAGGCAGCCTCTGAAAATAAGAAGAGTATCCCTCAAGCTGGGAAAAAGTTCTGACTTCCATCCCCATGTGCTTTTCCCTTTACTTGACTTTTCACAGTCAGCAATCCATTTTCCAATCCTACCACATTCTGAATCAGCATCCCACAATCACCCAAAACAGGACTGACCGGGAGCCCTCCCTGGAAGCACAAAGGGGAGGCTCCATGAACTTCCCCTTGAACTTGATTCAAACCTAGCCGCTCGGTTCAACTTGTGGTTGGTCAGCCAAGGAACAAGAAGATGTGGGAGAGAACTAGGTACAGATCGGGCTTCTGGGAAAGTCTCCGCTGCCATCTCAGTTTTTCCCAACCCCAACCAGGCCATATTCTGGGAAGAGGCACTTTTACTACCCCAGAAAACAGAAAACACCAAACTTACGGTGATCTTGCTGGCTTGGTTCAAGGCTTCAACCCAGTCCTTCAGATCTTTCTGGTCATTGGCTTGAAGGAAATATCTCTGAGATAGGGCATTGATAACTACAAAAGCCACGGAAAAGAAGGGAAGACATTCCTGGGTCAGAATACAAGCAACGCAAGTTTCCACAAAGCTAAGGTGTTGGAGGGTGCAAGATGCGTGAACTCCACAAAGCAGATTAACAAATCTCCCATGACCCTAAGTCACTTGTCTGGATATTTAGGAAGTCCCAGGCCATACCTGCTCACTCTCTTTCCCACCTTTAAAAGCATCCCATCGGCCACGGAAACAACACCTGATGACGTAACAGCGGCCTCAATGTGCTGCTCTGCAGTGATGAGGCTGCTGTTCTGCCGTCAACAAGATGCAACTGAACCACATTCTGGCGCTGACAATACATTTACTGTCAAGATGGTACATACAGAATTTTGGACACATGCTTGGTCTCCACTGGCACAACTGGCCTGGACTTGGAGTCTTGTTTGTGGCTGGGAAATATGACAAAGCTTTCCTGAGATCAAATCTGTGACCTTGGCCTCACTCTAAACCTGTTCTTCCCTCTGAGCATTCCATTAAGTCAACAATTTACTTCCATGTTTATTATTATTACATATATATTTTTTTAGATCTGATAACCACAAAACGTGAGACTCATTTCTGAGCTTAGCTATGAAATTTGCAAGAAATAGAATGGGAATACCAAAGATGTTTGAACCAATCTGAAGTGGAGAGAGAGAACAGCTCAAGGGAATATTTTATTCTCCCAGCATAAGCTTGAACTGTAGTAGGAGAGCCTCACGGGGTAGCTGCAGAACTCATCTATTCATTCATCTGACAAACATTTTCTGAGCACCTACTATGTGCTAGGAAAGAACCATCTTAAATGCTGAAGATACCACAGTGACAAGGCAGAATAATATCCCTGCCTTTGTGAAGCTTACATTCAGAACCACCTCAGAGAGGCAAGAGAAACTATTTGTTAGCATTTGCTCATAGCACTTAGCACAGCTCTGAGAACACAGTAGGAGCCAAGTAACTATTTGATGATAGAGTCACTGAATTCACTGACTTGAGGCACCCATGCACGGTGACTCTGCTTCCTACACCATCCCCCAACATATCACTCTTTGGGCAACTGAGACCCTCAACAGAACACTCCTTGCTTTCTCATATCCCCTTCCTGGCACTGCCTTCCACCTCCCTTCTGAGTCCTCCATCTTTTCTGAGCACACCATTTCTCAGCTCTAAAATAAGGATTCGTAGAAACTTCTAGTGGACACTTTGCACCTGCCCTGTGGCACTGAGAAAACTGAAATGCAGACGGACAATTATTAAAAGAAAAAAGTGTTCGAGATGATGGATATTGATATGTTTGGATCTGTGTCCTCACCCAAATCTCATGTTCAGTTGTCATCCTGGATGTTGGAAGTGGGGCCTAGTGGGAAGTAATTGGATCATGGTGGATTCTGGGGGCGGTTTTCATGGTTTAACACCACCCCCCATGCTGTCATCTCATGATAGTGAGTTCTTGTGGAATCTGGTTGTTTAAATGTGTGCAGCACCTCCCACTCTCTTTCTTGCTTCTCCTCTGGCCCTAGAGAGCCTGAAGATCATGCAGAACAGCGAGCCAATTAAAACTCTTTTTTTTTTTGGGATGGAGTTTCACTCTTGCTGCCCAGGCTGGAGTGCAATGGCGCAATCTCAGCTCACTGCAACCTCCGCCTCCTGGGTTCAAGAGATTCTCTTGCCTCAGCCTCCCAAGTAGCTGGGATTACAGGTGCCTGCCACCACGCCCAGCTATTTTTTTTGTATTTTTAGTAGAGAAGGAGTTTCACTATGTTGGCCAGGCTGGTCTCAAACTCCTGACCTCAGGTGATCCACCTGCCTCGGCCTCCCAAAGTGCTGGGATTACAGGTGTGAGCCACCGTGCCCGGTCAAACCTCTTCTGTTTTTAAATTACTCAGTCACAGGTATTTCTTTATAGCAGTTCAAGAACAGACTAATACAGATATGCTAATTACTCTATACATTATGTACCGCATGAATATGTACAATTATTATTTGTCAATTTAAAAAACAAAACTAAAACAGAAAAAAAAGAGAGAAAGAAAACAGAAATGTTACTAGTCCCTGGACCTCTGTCCTTACATTATTAACAACCTTTGCAGCAAGACCAGGGAAAAAATATCACTTGACACCCAGAACCGTCATTGTGATTTAAGTCACTCATACGCACAAGGTATAGTCACATGTGATCACAGGACTGTCTCCACACAAAAGAGGAAGTTGCCATATCAATATTAAAAGAGCCCATCCCCTGGCTCTGTACTTACCAAAGCAAAATGGAGTTTTGGGTTTCTGCTTTGGGGTAGCTATGCTCACCTAAATCAAATAAGAAATAAAAGAAACATGAATATGTTTCTTACAATGTTGAAAATTCCTTATTGTGAAATTTCTCATACATAAAGAGTATATTAAACAGGTGTCTACATTTTTTAAAAATAATAATTAAATGAAAACCCTGTACTCATCATCCGGATTAAGAAACAGGCATTATCAGTCCTATTTCTTAGAAGCCCTGTGTGCCCCTCCCTGATAGAATCCCCACCCATTAGAGATAACCAGTATCTTGATGTCTGTTCATCTTTACAAAGAAGACTTGTTATTTACTTATTTATTTAGCAATAGGGTCTCACTCTGTCACCCAGGCTGGAATACAATGATACAATCACAGCTCACTGCAGCCTCCGACTCCTGGGTTCAAGTGATCCTCCAGCATCTGCCTCCTGGCTAATTTTTTTTTTTTTTAATGCCACCATGCCTGGCTAATTAAAAAAAAAAAAAATTCCAGAAATGGGTCTTGCTATGTTGCCCAGGCTGGTCTCAAACTCCCAGCCTCAAGCAACCCTCCCACCTCAGCATCCCAAAGCGTTGGGATTATAAGCATGAGCCACTGCATCCAGCTCAAAAACACTTTTAAAACCCACTGAGTCCTAGCGAAAACCTATCCTGGCCTCATTCACACTAGCAAGATTCCCCTCATCCCCTCCCCTTTCAACCACCAACCCTTTTCCTAAATAGTTTTCCAAGCTGAAGGCAGTATTGCTACAAATGCATGGATTCCCATCAGAACACTCAGATAGATGAAGCAGCAAGCTGCTCGCTGTGCTCAGACACACGGAATAGTTGCCTTCACATCTGCCCTCATGGCCTAGCCATGAAAATGAGCACCTTCCGGGTGCCCAGAGAAAGTCTGATGGAATCAGAGAACACGCCTATATGTCTCAGGGAAGGGCAAGAAACACAGGAGGTATTTCTATACGTCCTGTTGCTGTGTTTAATCTTGCTTTGGCAATCCTACACCTGGCATGTACACTCCTGAGTATCTGCCTATGTGAACTCATATCATTCAGACTCAAACAAAAGAAAAAAAGAAAGGAATTCACATTCCACCGCATGCCCACAAAGATTAGGGACAATCCTTGATGGAGGCTGAGCCTCCCTGGAGAGTTTCCACCACTGGGCCTCTAAAGACGCAGCCACCTTCCCATGGTTCCTCGGCTGGGGACTATTCACATAATGTCACAGTCCTCCCCTGGATACCATTCTCTCCATCCCTTTGCAGCCAAGGGTATTCTTCGACATCTCCTCACCTAGTGGCTCCAGAAGTGGTTCCCACTTTATTTTGTTTGTTTTTGGGTTTTTTTTTGTTTTTCTTTCTTTTTTTTCGAGATAAAGTTTTGCTTTTATTGCCTAGGCTGTTCAAGCAATTCTCCTGCCTCGGCCTCCTAAGCAGCTGGGAATACAGGCACCTGCCACCACGCCCAGGTAATTTTTTCTATTTTTAGTAGAGACAGGATTTCATCATGTTGGCCAAGCTGGTCTCAAACTCCTGACCTCAGGTGATCCACCCACCTCAGCCTCCCAAAGTGCTGGGATTACAGGTGTGAGCCACCACGCCCAGCGTTTTTTCTTTCTTTGATACAGGGTCTCACTGTTACCCAGGCTGGAGTGCAATGGTGCGATCTCAGCTCACTGCAACCTCCGCCTCCTGGGTTCACCCGGGAGTGCAGTGGCACAATCACAGCTCAGTGCAGCCTTGACTTCTCATGCTCAAGTGATCCTTCCACCTCAGCCTCCTGGGTAGCTAGACTACAGGCATGTGCCATCACACTCAGCTAATTCTTCTATTAGTGTAGAAAGGGGTCTAGCTCTGTTATCAGGGCTGTTCTCAACCTCCTGGCCTCAAGTGATCCTCCTGCCTCAGCCTCACAAAGTGCTGGGATTACAGGCATGAACCACTGGAACTGGCTGGTTCCTGCTTTGATGGGCAGCCTATTAGAAGCCAGGTGCCAAAGAAGAAACCTTGAGTTGAAATTAAAGTCTCTTCCTGGCTGACTGTGGCTAGGGTCTAACAATGACTGACCCAACAGTCTGTCTAGGTTCTTACTCTTGGCTCTAAGTTCTTGCTATATACCTGCCCAGGTTCCTTAACCAAAATTAATATTGCCCCAGATAGGTAGGAACTGAGGTGGCACCTTATAAAAGATCAAAAGAAAGTCAAGTAGTCAGAGACAGAGAGTCTCAAATGACAGGTGTCTCAATGGAGTGACCTCCATTTCCTGTTCTATCAAGTAAGGGATCGTAATATTGTGTTTTCATAGGGTTATCATGAGGGTCAAATATGATAGTGCAGGCCGGGCGGGGTGGCTCACGCCTGTAATTCAAACCCCTTGGGAGGCCGAAGTGGGTGGATCACAAGGTCAGAAGTTTGAGACCAGCCTGGCCAACATGGTGAAAACCTGTCTGTATCAAAAATACAAATAATTAGCCAGGGATGATGGCGCATGCAGTCCCAGCTACTCAGGAGGCCGAGGCAGGAGAATCGCTTGAACCCAGGAGGCAGAGGTTGCAGTGAGCCGAGATCGCACCATTGCACTCCAGCCTGGGTGACAGAGTGAGACTCTGACTCAAAAATAAATGAATAAATAAATTTTAAAAAGCGGAAGTAGAAGGAGAGGCATGAGATAGGTGGGTTCTGAGGGCTGTGATGGCCAAAGACAGCTCTGCTGTGGTCAGGATTATACAGACATCAGGGGCAGGACAACCAGGAGTCATGCACAAGAGGACTGTGGGAGTGTGAACACTGAGGGCCAAAGCAAGGAAATGAGTTACTGACAGATCAACACTCAGGTGTAAGCAGGACAGAGGCCTGCGTGATGGTCCAGACTGATGTTGGGCAGGTGGGTCAGAAACCCAGGAAGCAAGATGCCTGGGGGCCTGGACCATTGCGTTATGGACCCACCAGCGTCCTCTTACCTGTCAGTTAAGACACAACTCAATTTGGATGGTCTGTGTCCGAACTCGGGATAATTGAGTTTACCTTTGCTCAAATCTTCATTTTTTTAAGGTCTTTCTTAGGCCCTATGGCTTTCACCTCACATCTCAAAATGCACCCACTTCCCTTATTAAATATAATTGTTTGGCTATAAAATATTCAAAAGGATTTTAATCATTTTACTTTTGGAATGATTTGGCTCTGAGTAACTCATCCAATTTGTAACTGGCTCTAATTTCTTTACAATCATCTTGCATACACACAAAAGGATTCTAGTGAACTAAGAAAATTTGTATCTTTTTTTTTTTTTTTTTTTTTTTTGAGACAGAGTCTCGCTTGTCGCCCAGGCTAGAGTGCAATGACAGGATCTTGCCTCACTGCAGGCTCCACGTCCCAGGTTCAAGCGATTCTCCTGTCTCAGCCTTCCAAGTAGCTGGGATTACAGGCATGCACCACCATACCCAGTTAATTTTATATTTTTAATAGAGATGGGGTTTTACCATGCTGGTCAGGCTGGTCTCAAACACCTGACTTCAAGTGATCCACCCACCTTGCCAAGATTACAGGCATGAGCCACTGCGTCTGGCCTGGTACCAATTATTTTCAAATGAAAAAATTTTTAATGTTTCATTGAAAAATTAATGATGTTGACTTGATGTAACATCTTATACGCATTTAAGTACTCATGAGGGAGGTTGATATAATGTTATATAGGCATTTAGTTAAATATTTATTTATTTATTTATTTTTTTTTTATGAAGACGGGGTTTCACCATGTTGGTCAGGCTGGTCTTGAACTCCCGACCTCAGGTGATCCATCTGCCTTGGCCTCCAAAGTGCTTGGATTACAGGCGTGAGCCACCACGCCCGGCCATAGTTAAATAGTTATTAACATTAGATATGGCATCTTCACTTTGTATGTAGGAGACCAGGCAATTTTTTTCAGGTTTCATACAGTTTTGCAGGCCCAGAGAAACTCATGGGCCCTCAGCATTTTGCCCATAGTTCCAGGCAGGGCATTGGCTATATTGATGTGTGGAATTAGGCTTTAAAGGAAATGAGGTATCAAAAGCTATAACTAATCCCTCCTGGGTTGAGCAGATTCTGTGTGGAGGAATGGCTGCCTTACCTGCATTATCTTTTTTGTGTGTTTTTGAGATGGAGTCTTACTCTGTCACCAGGCTGGAGTGCAGTTGCAGTGGTACGATCCACCCGCCACGGCCTTTTAAAGTGCTGGGATTATAGGCATGAGCCACCACACTTAGCCTTTGTTTTTTTTTTTTTTAAGAGATGAGATCTGCCTCTGTCACTCAGGCCGGAGTGCAGAGGCACAATCATGGCTCACTCAGCCTCAAACTCCTGGGCTCCAGCGATCCACCCAATTCAGCCTCCCAAGTAGCTAGGACTATAGGCAATCGCCACCATGCCCAGCAAATTTTTCTTTAAAAAATTTTTTTTGTAGAGACAGTGTCTCACTATGTTACCGAAACTGGTCTTGAACTCCTGGCTTCAAGTTATCTTCCCACCTCGGCCTCCCAAAGTGTTGGTATTACAGGCCTGAGCCACTGTGCACAGCCTACTTCCAGCTTTAGAATGACTTTGAAAAGCTGGGAACTCCAACACCCTTTCTGGTTTATTAGGAGAATTGCCTTTTCTCTGAAAAACTCCTATTTGTCACTGACTAGAGAGAGCACCCCGGGTAGACAGTTTCCACTGTTTGGATAACCAATGCTCACTCTGACCACAGCTGATTAGCCAGCCTGCACTGTGAGAATGCTACCCATGTGCTTATTATGGGAACTGGAGCCTTTAAAGAGATGGTCTGGCTTTGTGTTTGTTTTCCTCTGTTTACCCAGTTTTGGTCAGGAGGCATGTGTGAGTGCATGCGTGTACAACTATCACTGGCCTCATGCCTAATGGCTTACCACGGAAGGGCGATTCGGCAAACCAACCCACAGCTAAATTAACAGGATCAGTTCTGGTTCTGCCCTGACTGGCTCGCTGCAAGGGTAAGACCCTCAGTGTCTCTGATCAGCTTCAAAATAGGTAAAGCCAGAGTAAAAACACTATTCCCCTTTGCCACTGAGTGGCAAAAGAGGACAATGAAATGATTCTGCCTGTTGCTGAGTCCCACAGAAAGAAAGGGCAAGGTGGGGCCAGGCACGATGGCTCTCACCTGTAATCCCAGCACTTTGTGAGGCTGAGGCGGATGGATCACCTGAGGTCAGGAGTTCAAGACCAGCCTGACCAACATGGTGAAACCCCATCTCTACTAAAGATGCAAAAATTAACCAGGTGTGGTGGCAGGCGCCTGTAATCCAAGCTACTCGAGAGGCTAAGGCAGGACAATTGCTTGAACCCAGGAGGCAGAGGTTGCAGTAGCCAAGATCACACCACTGCATTATAGCCTGGGCGAGACTCCATCTCAAGTTTTTTTTAAAAAAGGCCCAGGAGGAAATCTAACTTATCATGGAGACGTGGTGGCTTCGCCTCTCTCTGACATTTGGTGACTACGGAGGCGGGACTCCTGCCTGCTGGGAGGAATAATCCTACTCTGCCCCCACTGCACCAGGGATCATGCCAGGTGGCACCAGGGATCATGCCAGGTGGCTACAGCCTCCCTCAAACATCGTGAAGAAACAGAGGATCCTCATGAAGAGGCGTGGCTGCAGGGGGGTGAGGTCACCCGACTGTCTGACTCCAGTGAGGCACCAAGGCACAGCCATCTGCACAACGGAGGTGGCCACAGCTGGGGCACTACACGGCAGTGGTTGACTGTGGGTCCTGTGAACACCCCAGCAGCAAGCAGAGGTCAGGGATGTGAGCAGGGAGTGGGCACAGGTCCTCCGTAGAGTGACGCATACGGGGCTGCTCCACAGCTCAACAGACTCAGGAACTCGCGCTTATCAGATCAAACACAGACCACAGGAGCTGCAAGCTCGTCAGCGGCCAGGCACAGCTAGGGCCAGCCCCACCCTGTCTGCCCTTGGCCGGAAGCGGAGCTGGGGCCCCTCTGGCAGAAGCAGCGGCCACAAAACAAGGTCTCCTAGCTCTGCTGCGGCCTCTGCCACAGTGTCTGGGGTGACCTTGCCCCACGAGGTGGCATCAGGACCAGAGGAATAGCAGTCACCTACACGGTGACATGGGGGTCTCCGGCCCAGCTTCAGGAGGTCAGTGGGCTCCCTGGAATTATACGTAAAAGCAGGGTGTGTCCCTATACCTATGCATTTACCTGGAGAAGGCGTGCATGCTTTTCATCAGCCTCCCTCGCAAAACAATCCACAACCCCCCACAAGTTCTGAGAGGTGACCGAAAGCAAGGCCCCAACAACTGGGACACAGCTGGGGGTGGGACAGTGGGGTTGGCTGGGCAGTCAGGGGTGGGTTGAGGGCAGGGGTCATAGGGCAGCTTTAATTATTTTCTAGTGCTAAGAACTGGTTCTGTTGCCATAGATGCTCTAGGTGACATCCGATCATCACTTTCATCTCTGTCTCTCTCGGGCCAGGGGCCACAGGCCCATCCTCATCTGCCGGGCACCAGCCCTCAGCAGACAGCAGAGAAACACACACCCCGAGCAGAGAGCCCACCTACAACTCTCTGGCCAGGCCACCTGACACCGTGGCAAGAGCTTTCCTCCAGGAGGAAATACCTAAGGGTTAACAAGAAATGACCTGGAATGCGGAGCTGGAATCCAGCGTCTCAGTGGCTACATTTCTTTCTGGGAAAATCCCCTGCTTTCTGGCAGGGGGTCAGGCAGGAGTTAAAGGCTCTGAGCTCTGTGTAACCCGACCCAGTGGCAGCTGTGGGTTTTGCAAAATGCCCACCCAGCCCTGCCTTTCTCAGTACAGGGCTAAACAGCAGGTCACCCTTTCCAAATGAGGCAGCCTCCAAGGCTGAGAACTCTAAAACCCTCATCTGAGCTGCATTTATAAATCATGATTCAGCAGGAGATTGAATTCACTTCTCCCCCCCCAAAAAAAAAAAAGTCTTCCCAAACCCTCTCACACAGGAGAGGGTTTCATTTTTCATTTATTACTGCGAGGTTTTCTGCTCCTCTGCTCTAAATTCTCTGTCTCCGACCCTCCTGGAGAAATGACCTCAGGAGCTCTCAGCAAGATGATGACAAGTCAGGAAGGGCGGGCAGGCCCGGGCCTCTGGCTGCTCTGGCCGGGGGAGGCGGCCACATTTCTCACCGCAAGGCATGCACAAATTGCCGGCAGCTGTGCTAGCAAGGCTGGACTTGAAAGGGCCCTTCCCCCAGCCCCGAGGTCATTCTCTCCCTCTTTAATCTGTCCTGACGCTGCCCTGCATCTTGTGCCTTGGTACCGGGCCGTGTCTGCCGGACTCTGCCTGCACACCACAGGCACAGGGACGCGCAGCCCCTCCAGCCAAGGGTGGCCTCTCCTTCAGAGGCCCCCAGTCCTCTCCAGGTTCATCTTCTGATCAGCCAGGGTGCAAGGCTCCCAAAGCTTGTTACAAGATGGAGCCGGTAGACCCTTGGCTCGGGGCCCCCAGGCCTCAAGCCCCTAAGGATGAGAGGGGATGGCAAGGCAGAAGAGGCCCCCAAGAGGCCTGCAGTGAAGGGGCGTGGGGAGCGCAGGGCTTCCGAAACCTCAGTGCTGGCCGGCTGCCACCTGGCTCTGCTCACTGTACAAAGAGTTCCTCTTTCTGGGGAGGCTCTAAATCTCCCGGCCTTTTTATCACCGCTGCATCACGGGTCAGCAGTGGTGCCTGCTCCAGGGAGGGGCTGCTAATAGAAGCTGAATTCAGCAGTGACATGTGGGCACCGTTAACCAGCCCCCACCCCAGCTCTCAGCACAAGAGAGGGGCTGCTCCAGCCCCTTCTGTACAAACAGGACTGGGGGCGCCTGGCAGCCACCTGCCCCAGTCCCCAGCGGTGATCTGGCTGCTGAATGTCCTCCTGGCAATCTGAGTGGCTTCTCGGGCCTTCTTAGCCTTCCCTCCACAGTGATCCTGTCCAGGTGAATGATGACATTCCAGTGAAGCCCCAGCACTTTCTCAGTGACTTCTGTTTGACTGTACCCTTTGAGAGAATCCTTTGCTGGATTTTTGGTGATTGGTTTTGTGTTCCCTTTCATCCCAATTACAAAAAAAAAAAAGATCACGGGTCATGTCCCACTCCTACCCCAGCTCCACCACCACATAACACGTCCTGTGCAGGAGCTGGGAGCATTAAGGATTGATGTGTTCAAGGAGGAGGAGGCTGCAGATCCACCCTCCAACAACTTGCTAACCACATACCTCTCCAGCCACCCATCAGCAGCGAAGCTTCCACAGGCAGTGTGTGGGGTCGGGGAGCATTTCAACACCACGCAACGTCCCAAAATACTAATGCCCAAAGGACTGGACGCTTCCCCTTGCTTAGAAACCAGATCAACTTACAAAGCATGAATTCCCAGAGTTCCAGGTCAACGTTACCTTCGAGATGTAGGTCAGCTGCAAAGCTCCGACAGCTCCTGCCCCGACTGCCAGATTCTGAAAGACACATAGTTTTCATTTTAAGAAGGCTGCAGAAACAGCACCAGGAGACAGAAGACCAAGATTCCAGCTCTGTTAATGCCACTTTTATGGCAACCTTGAGCAAGTTACTCAACCATTCTTTAACTTGCATTCCTTACCTGTGATGATAATTTCTCGATAATGACTCAGGATTCCTGATGGAAACCTGTGACATTAACATCACCCCCAAGCCTTATCTATTACAGAATAATATTCTAGTACAATGGTAAAAAGGTATGCTCACACTAGGCATAGTGGCTCATGCCTATAATCCCAGCACTTTGGAAGGCCAAGATGGGAGGATCACTTGAGGCCAGGAGTTTGATGCCAGCCTGGATAACATATCAAAAAATTTTTAAATTAGCTGGGTGTGATGCCTCACACTTGCGGTCCCAGCTCCATGGAAGGCTGAGGTGGGAGGACTGCTGGAGTCCAGGAGGTGGAGGCTGTAGTAAGCCCTGTTAGTGCCACTGTACAACAGAGCAAGATCCTCTTTAAAAAAAAAAAAGCGTATGCTCCACTGTGAACAAGTTCCTTAGCCACTAAGCCTCCGCTTTTCCTTCTGTGAAATAGGGATAATAGTATCTGCCTCATAAGAAAGCTGTAAAAATGAGTTAATACATTTAAGAAAGCCAGGCACAGTGGCTCACGTCTATAATCCCAGCACTTTGGGAGGCTAAGGTGGGCAGATCACCTGAGGTCAGGAGTTCGAGACCAGACTGGGCAACACGGTGAAAGTCCATCTCTACTAAAAACATAAAAATTAACCGGACATGTGGCCCACGCTTATGGTCCCAGCTACTCATGAAGCTGAGGCAGGAGAATCGCTTGAACCCGGGAGGTAGAGGTTGCAGTGAGCTGAGATCTCGCCACTGCACTCCAGCCTGGGCGACAGAGTGAGTCTCCATCCCACCAAAATAAAAAAATAAATGAATACATTTAAGAGCACTTGGGATTGTCCCTGGCATGTAGAAGACTCTCAGCAAGTGTGAGCTCTTATAGTTTTTGCATGTGCCCTGACATCTCACTGACTCTGTCCTGTTTTAAGCCAATGCAACATTTTTTATAATACATAAGATTCAAATTCACACAGTATAGAAATAATATCTATGTTATATATTATATATAATTATATATGTTATATATTACATATTATATACGTTATATATTATATATTATATACTATTATATAATATATATTATATATTTTATATATATGTTATATATAATGTAATTATATATTATATATGTTATATATATATTATATATATATAACAGCCCTACTCATAACAGCCCTATGAAACGGGCTGAATATATAGATACATATATTATATATATATTATATATATAAAGGGAAGATGTCTGTACAGTATAAAACACAAAGTGAATGCACTATCACCACAGCAGGAGACTCACAGGCACCAGGTCTGGTGATGAGCCCCACCCTGGCACACGCTGTCTGGCTTTCTAATGTCCCCATTGGCAGGGATGAAGCAGCAAAAAGCCAGGGCAGTCTCATGCCAGAGTCAGGGTTAAGGTTAGAAAACACATCTGTGGGGCTTCGAATGCACACCATTATCCTATGAATCTGGGACTCTGTTCATAGCTCTTGCTGACCTCTTAAACTGTTGCCAAAAGCCTTCAAGAAAAATCTCTGAAGCCCCCATTACCTGGGGTCCTCTCAAAGCAATAAAAGGAGGTGAATCTTGGATAAAGGGAATTTAGTAAATTTACCTAAGAATTCTCAGTGAAATGACCTATCCGATCAGGAGACAGCCTTAAGAAATGTCTCAGGTTGTGCCAGGCGTGGTGGCTCACGCCTGCAATCCCAGCGCTTTGGGAGGCCAAGGTAGGTGGATCTCTAGGTCAGGAGTTTGACACCAGCCTGGCCAGCATGGTGAAACCCTGTCCCTACTAAAAATACAACAATTAGCCAGGCATGGTGGTGTACTCCTGTAGTCCCAGCTGCGTGGGAGGCTGAGGCAGGAGAATCACTTGAACTCGGGAGGCGGACGGAGGTTGCAGTGAGCCAAGATTGCACCACTGCACTGCAGCCTGGGCAACAGAGTGAGCCTCCGTCTCAAAAAAAAAAGAGAGAAAGAAAGAAATGTCTCAGGTGGACCAGGTATGGTGGTTCACACCTGTAATCTCAGCACTTTGGGAGGCTGAGGTGGGAGGACTGCTTGAGCCCAGGAATTTGAGACCACCCTAGTCAACATAGCGAAACTCCGTCTCTGTAAAAACATTATATATTTCTTTTTCTTTTTTTTTCTTTTCTGTAAATGTCTCCTCGGGTAGTAGGGAAGAATCCTTCTAACCCCAGTTATCTAAAGTAACACACATCATTTGAAGCAAATTCAAGCAAGAAAATGGACGGGGATAATACCACCAAAAAAAAGTATTCTCAGAACCCGAGACTCTTAGAGCGGAGGACCTAGAAAAGACTCTGCACTTCTTGTTCTTCCCTTTGTGAATGAGGCAGTAAGCTAAGAGCTGCCTTTCATAGCTAGATTCACATGTGAACTGTGGATAGTCTGATTTACACTTCTATTTACACACTTTTTCAACCACATAGCGACTGCTTTTCAGGGGTTCGTTTGTTTGTGTTTAGGAAACCTCTATTGGGTAGGGAGAGACGGGCCTTGTAGCCCCTAAATCAGAATCCACATAGGAGCCCCAGCTCCCAAAAGACATGAGTGACAGACACTGCCCTGGAGGGGAATGAGAACTGCTCTGGGCAAAGACGCTGCGCTGCCCAAGGTCAGACTTCCAGAGGGAGACCCACAGGCTCCAGGGACACAGGAGCCGCAGGACTAAGAGCCTGCCACCACCCCGACCCCATTTTGCAGTTTAGAAAAGTGGTTCATGAGTGAGGGGATTTGTCTAAGGTCACATAATTGATGGCTGAGCCTAAACGAAAGCTGACTTTCCATGCCAGTGGCCTGGAAGTGGCATGGGGTAATTTGAAAAGCCTGAGCTGTTGGAATTCTAGCTGTGACATTAACGCTCTGTAACCACAGGCAAGTCTCCGTACCTATAAAACAAAGATGATAAACCCTGTTTTGTAGGGCGGTGGGGAGAATTCCATGGAAAGACACAAGACAGCCCAGCCTACTGGAGTCCCAGTTCCCCTCCCGCAGCGCTAATTACAAGATGCAAACGCCGAGTCTCAGAGCTGCTGCTGCACCACACACTCCCCTTACCCCAAACCGCAGCCCAGCGGCCTCCAGAGTCCCAGCCTGAATTATGAGTGATGAAGTGGGATTTGGGGAACCATTCGGATGCTAACCCATATGGCACAACTATGAGCCGATCGGGTTTCAACTACCTCATCCCCTCTGCCCCTCGAGGGCTGCTCCACCCTCTGTCCCAGCCACCCTGGCAGCTCTCCCTGTTCAGAGAGAAGGATGCAGCACCCAGGACCCCAAGGGTGAGGGCGGGGGTCCTCACCCCTTCACCCACACTCCACCCACAATCTGTTCCTAGGCTCAACTGTACCACCTCTCCGCCAGGAGAAGCCAGGAAAAGGCAGGAAAATATGACTCGTGTCTGATGCTGCCTCCCTCCCACCTTCCTCCTCACCCAGGGGAAATGGGAGAAACGGGAGAAAACAGCCCCAGGATCCCTGAGGCTTGATCCAAATTGATGCTCAGTGTCCACTCCAGTGACTGGACCTAGAAGATGGACAGTGACAGCTGAGTGCCAGGTGACAGACACATCAGCAGTCCCTGGCAGATGCTTCTGATCAAGGAAAACAGGGAGGGCCTGCCTGAGCTGAGAGTCAGGCAGCCAGTGTCAGGGCAGGAAGGCCAAGAAACAGCACCTAGGGAGGGGCAGGGCATCAGAGCTGGGGAGGGGAGCCCACCCAAGCTGTCCCCCTCTTCCCTGGCCACAGATCAGACTCCTTTAGGAAAAGGACAAACTCAGGACTCTCCTCCCCAAAGCCTTCTCTAACCGACTCCAGCCTGCCGTGACCTCCCCCCTCTCCGGATTCAGGCACACAAATCCTTCTCCAACTTCGGCACACACCAGAATCTCCTGGAGAGCTTGTTTTTAAAACCCCAAGAATGGCCGGGTGCAGTGGCGCACACCCGTAATCCCAACACTTTGGGAGGCTGAGGTGGGAGGATCCCTTGAGGCCAGGGGTTCAAGACCAGCCTGGGCAACATAGCAAGACTCTGTCTCTACAGAAAATAAAATAAAGAAATTAGCTGGGTGTGTTGGTGGCGCATTTGTAGTCCCAGGTATGTGGGAGGCTGAGGTGGGAGGATTACTTGAGCCCAGGAGTTCGAGGCTGCAGTGAGCTATGATCGTGTCGCTGCACTCCAGCCTGAATAACACAGTGGGACCCTGACTCTATGAAAAAGAAAAAAAGAGATT